TTTCGTTCTGTTGCGCATGAGGACTGGGCGGTGTTTCGTTCTGTTGCGCACGAGGACTGGGCGGTGTTTTGTTCTGTTGCGTATGAGGACTGGGCGGTGTTTCGTTCTGTTGCGCATGAGGACTGGGTGGTGTTTTGTTCTGTTGCGTACGAGGACTGGGCGGGGTTTCGTTCTGTTGCGTATGAGGTTGCTATGAATCAGTACCAACTTTACGACCCCTAATAACAGCCCTATGTCGGATGCCCTTCAGAGCATCTTTGATTTTTCTGCCACATCTTCTCAACAGGTGGTTGGCCAGAAGAGCTCAGACTGGAATCAGAAGTGTCTCTCGTCCTGAGGTGCCCCCTAGCGTGCTCTAACCATGTATTCTGCTGCCCAGTGGATGCCCACTCCCAGTGACCCTGTATAAGAGTGTAGAACTGACCCTTGGGTAGTAAGTATTTTTGGAGGGAGATTGCCAGGACTTTCCTCCCACTGAGCAGCTGGTGGGTTTGAACTTTCAGATCTTTTGGTGAGCCAAGTGCTTTAACCATGATGCAACCAGGGTTCCTTATTCTGATTTGTTGTTGTTAAGTACCGTGGAGTTGGTTCCGATTGCACAGGGTTTCTGAGGCTGCTAATCTTTACGGGAGCAGAAAGCCTCATCTTTCTCTCGTGAAACAGCTGGTAGTTTCGAACTTGCGACCTTGAGGTTAGCAGCCTGATTCGTAACCACTACATGATTACACCACCTTAAAATGGTATTTCATTAAGTCTTCCAACATGAGGCCTTGTTAGTCTGTTTTCCTCCTTGGGACTTTAAATTGTGTGTGGGTTTCAAATTCTCACTGTAGGAGTTGATGGTTTCCTCATAAGGAGGTACTAGGGACCTTCAAACAGTCCATGGGAAAATTCCACTATCCTGAAGAAGAAATAAACTAGGTGAGGACCCAGGGAGGCATGGAAGGGTTGCAGGGGAGAGCCTTGGAACAACAGTGTTCTGTGTGTAGAACCAGGGGCAGAGACATGGGCTGAATGGGAGTGGGAGAAGAGTGGGATTGTTGTTGTGAAGTCCTGTTGAGTCAGTTCTGAGTCATAGCGACCCTCGATAGGGTTTCTGAAGAGCCGACTTTGTGGTTCAAACCAGCCTTTCGGTCCAGTGCTTTAGCCTGCTGTCTGACACCAGAACTCTCTCTCTATAAATATAATATACGGAGTTAAGTGCCATCAAGTTGCTTCCAACTCATAGTGACCCAGTATAGGGTTTCTGAGAAGCAGTTGGTGAGTTTGAACCAAAGACCTTGCAGTCTAGTGCATTATCTCACAGCACCACACCAGGGCTGCATATTGTGGTACTTTTTGGTTGGTGATGTGCCTTTTAGTTCATAACTGACGATATAAGAGGACTTCAAAAAGTTTGTAGAAACATGGAATTGGAAGACATTGGAATTTCTCTCTCTCACTCTTAATTGTGAACTGAGTGAAGGTTTACAGAGCAGATCATCAGTTTAACATTCAACAAATCAGACACTTGGTTTCATCTTAACGACTGCAATGCCCTTCCTGCAATAACAGTTGTCCCGTTTCCTCCTCATGGTGTCCATGTACAGATAGCCTCTTCCAAACTTCATTCGTGGGACTGCGGTAATTGACATGAAACCGTGTCTAATTGGTTGAATGTAAAACTGATGATCTTGTCTGGAAACCTTCACTCAATTCACAATATGAAAAAAAGAGAAAAATTCCCTTGCCTTCTAATTCCATTTTTCTACGAACTTTTTGAAGCTCCCTTGCATCTTCAGTTAGAAACAAAAGCTAATAACAAACCAAGAACCACAATGCAGGCATGGCTCACCAACTGGCTGTTAATCAGAGGAAACAGGAGGCAGCTGGTCCAGGCCTCTTGGTCTCAGTCCACAGTGGGGCCCCTGGGTTCCCCACTGCCCCATACCCCTCCACTCACTGGGATGTTTGACTTCCTCCGGGGCTTTTCCGAAGGTTTCACTGTGAGCCCCGCAGCCTGCAGGGCCGCAATCCTAGACTCTATGTCAGAAACCTGGGAGGAGAAGAGACAGACAGACACAGATGGACAGGCAGATGGATCAGGAGAGCAGTTGTCTCCCGATTCACTCGTGGCATCAACTTTACATATGTGTTCCTTTCCGACAGGCAGCCCACACCGAGTCATTTCCCGGTGACAGTTGGGGATGGGTGGGTGTTCCTCATCAGTCACCCCCAGGTGGAAGGAGACGGGGCGTGTAGCCGTTTCAGGAGCCACATTAGGGATGTCCAGCTCCCATCATGCTGAAGAGGGGTCAGTATCTCGGGGATGAGTCTTTCTGGGGTCTAAGGGACAGATTCTTTCTTATGGAGCAAAGGATTCAACAGAGGCTGGCCAAGTTCTGCCTTCCTGGATGGTTTCAAATCATCCCAGTACTCAGCATTGTGCCCCACCCACTGGCGTCATCCCTACAGTCCCTGGAGGTCACTTCTCCCACAGCACACAGGAATCTACAAACGCAGATACCAGGCCCGTCTCTCTTGGTTCCGATCAGCTCTCCCAGTTATAACCCCTGGCCCCCAGGACCCCCTGCAACCTGCCTACCTCGCAGACCTGCCTTCTCTCCCCCTACACTCTCTGCTTCAGTTTTAAGGTTTCACTGTGACCCTTGACACATTGAGCTTGATGCCCGCCCTCCAACCCCTTGACCTGGACACCTGTCTGCTAGGTGTCCCAACCCCAGGGACCTCAGTGCACCATTGGTTACTATTGTCTCCACACACAGCCTTCCTGATGAACTGAATGATGTTGTTTGTTTGTGTCCCTCTCCTTCCACTGAAACACGAGCTCCAAGAAGGTAGCACTTTGTCCGCAATGTCTGCAGCTACAGCTGCTCTGCCTGCGACTCGCCTGCCACCTGAGCAGCATCTACCTTGGGAAGGGACCCACCCAGTACTGCTGGAGTCCATTCCCATCCATGGAGACCCAGAATCACGAGTACACCTGCTCCATCGTGTTTCAACGGCCGTCACCTTTACAGAACCAGACGGCCTCATCTTTCTTCCAAGGAGCGGCTGTTGGGTTCAAACCACCAACCTTGTGGTTAACAGTTAAATACTTAAACCCCTGTGTCACCAGGGCCCCTTGCAGGAAGGGGCTGAGGCTGGAAACATCCTTGGCCTAGGTGACATGGCTCCTGCTGGCAGAGTCAGGCACTTGTTGTTGAGACGATAAAGGAGCTACAGCACCGGGTTGCTGGCCGGTCTGTGATGCTCCCATCCCCTCGGCTGTCCCCAGATGTCCCCAGATGCTTTGCATACTGGGCACTCATGCTGTACCTGAACTCAGCTCTGCCAGCCACACCTGGGCTCACAGGAGGACCCTTGGGTCCTACGACTGGGATGCTCTGAATTCTGGAAGCTTCTGGATGCACCGGGCAGGGATTAGTCAGTGCTCAGCCACCTTCTCCATGATGGAGAGCCCTGCCTGTCACCAAGTCAAGCTGGGATAAAGTACAGGGTGGGGGTGTTTTTGGGTGGTGGGGCAGGTCCCACCGAAAGCCCAGACTCATGTTCTCCCTTCGTAAATGTGCATGTGGGGAAGGGGCTTGGGGCACCACATGGGGTCTACCTCGCTCTCTGCCTGCTGGACTTCAGAAGCTGTTACGGCCACTCTGTCCTCCAGCTTTGACAGCTCCTCATCTGTGATCCTGGTGAGTGGGATGTGGTTCTGGGGGCCCTGAAGGTCCGTCTCCCATCTGTCCATCTGTCCTACACCTGCACACACCTGGAAACAGGATGGGCCATAGGGGAATTTTTCCACAAATGTTTTCGAAGCTCCCTTGCCCATTCCTATTCTTTTACCTGCCCCTCTGCCCCCACTGCCCACATGACCACTTGTGGTGTTTATGTTACACAGAGCTTCCCGCTGCAGGTTCACTACAGTTCCACCCCCGGCTGAGAACTGTCTTGCCACCCTAGATCAGAATCTACATCTTAAGAAGGTCGCCAGTATCTAGGGAGTCCTGGTGTGGTGCTGTAGGATAAGCCCTGGACCACAAGGTCAGTTTGAACTGCAGAGTCAGTGGTTCAAACTCACCAGCCACTCATTGGAAACCCTATACTGGGTTGCTATGAGTTAGAACCGACTCAATGGCACATAACAACAACAACTAGTATCTAGGAGAATCACCTGGGAATCTTGGTAAAATGTAGATTCGGATTCAGGTTTTCTGGGGTGAGAAAGCAAATTCTCAGCAGGGGGTTGGACTGGAATGAACTGGCTGGAAGTCCTGGTGCCCTAGCAGTACTTGGGGACTTGGGGACAAGAACAGATGCCCAGGAGGGCTGGGGGCTTTTACAAACCACTGGGGGCTGGGACCATGTACCCCTGCCCCCAGCCCCCACCTGTGTCCTGACAAGACTCTTCCATGGTGGCCTGACCTTTGGGGCCATTTCCAGAAGGCCCCCACTGGAGGTGCTCCTGTCTGACCCCACTGCTGCGTCCGGGCTGTCCTCTTCCTCAGATGAGATGCCCTGGTCACTGACGTTGCTGGTCAGCTCCTCCAGCTTTCTCCTCAGGGTTTCCTCTTCTAGGTCAGCCTCGGTGGGCACATTGGCGACAAGGCGCTGTAATGAATGAGCAGGTGAACTTGAACCCCACCAGCAATCGGGACCCACTGCTCTTGAGAGCAGGGCTCTGGTTGCTTGCCTACGTTTCTTCAGGAGCTGGGGTCTCGTACGTTCCCAAATACCCTGCCGGGGCCCAATCCCAGCTCTCTCCATGGCTAAGACCTGCCATTTTGTATAAGACTTCGGGTTTCCTTGATGGGCGTGGATGGCCTTCATTTGATTGGATGACTTGAACAAAATCTTGCCTCTACCCTCAAATAGTGCAAATGGTTAACATGACTACTAACTGAGAAGTTGGAGGTTCAAGTCCACCCAGAGGTACCTCAAAAGACAGACTGGGTGACCTGCTTCCAAGATCAGCTATTGACAACTCTACATAGCAAAGTTGTATGATGACACACATGAGTCTGGTCAACTGGCCGGCTACTGGGCCCAGTTCTGGTGCTAAGACCAGGGCAACCATCTGGACTGCTCCCACCTCCCAGCTGAAGGCTAATGGGGTGTTGATGACCCATTTCTCAGACTGTCTGTTCTCACTTGGGGTGAAGTTGGAAGTATACCATGGCCAGGCTATCTCAGCTGCACAGAAACACAACTTCCCACCCGATTCCCTCTTCCTTCCAGAACTGGTGAGCCACCCCTGCTGAATGGAAACACAGACACAAGAAGCCACCACGACCCCCAGGTGCCCGTCCATCTGTATGGTCCTTTCCTCTGAACTTCTGCTTTCCCACCAGCCCAGGAGATTGCCCAGGATCATCCGATTCCACTTAGAAGGAAAGCTGTTACCAGAGGAGGAGGGGGCACTCCTGGTCCCCTAGAATGGGCACCAGGGATATTGGAGTGGCACGTTCACCCTGGATGTTCTGTGGTCTGGGCCAGCTTTCTGCAGGGAGTTCAACAATCAAAGTCCCCAAAGAGGCTCCCAAGCCAAAGCTGGAGCATTCCTGGGGGTGGGGGAAATACAGGAGAGGTGACAAGCCAAGGAAGTGACAGCCGATGGGAAGTGACTCTGCTGCGTGGTTAGAGGGGGACAGATGGCGTGCCAGGTGATAACCCCGAGTGACCAGGAGCACAACGTCCCCACCCCTCAGTCATCAGACCTCTGAGTCACCCAGGGTCTATTAGCTCCCAGACTGAGATGTGAGAAAATCGATTCTTCTTTCTCCTGCCTTCCCAAGATCTCATTTATGTTTTCCTTGTTTTAAAGGCCGGAAACAGTGCCCCCGAGCGAGGCAGCGCCAACACTGTGTATGGGTGATTCATCTGTTTGACACAGTGGTCACGTAGGCACGTCTGCCCAGGGAGGGACACTGCCGGGCGCTGAACTACGTAAACTGGATCTTCCCGCAATGTCTCAGGGACTAGACTACAGTGATGGGCCGGTACTAAGAGCTCTGTCCTCCCCCTGCTCCCCAAAATCTGTGCCGACGTGGCTGGGGTGTGACTCCCAGTGCTGTGGGGTTGTGTCCATTCTGTGATGTGTTGTATAAGGCTAGCCTTTGAACCTGCAGATTTGGCCCCAGGATTAGGGTGGGACTTAGCTGGAGCCACAACTTTACTGTTGTTGTTGTTGTTGTGAAGTGCCGTCGAGTCGGTTCCGACCCACAGCAACCCTGTATAGGGTTTCCAAGGAGTAGCTGGTGAGCTTGAACTGCTGACCTTGAAGTTCAATTGGCTTTGCAGTCTGGAGCATTAACCCACAGTGCCACACCAGGGCTCCGTACTCCCTTACTAGATGGTGTGATGATGTGATTAAAGTCACCTCCCTTATCCTTTACCACCTTTTACCGTAAGCCTTCCTGGTCACACCCTTGATTGAGTGTTCCCTTTTATCTTACATGTGACACCAGCAGAGAAGAGGTACCTGGCTACCACCAACTAGAAGAGATAGGAGCCTTGTGCTGAGAACCTCCTAGACCCAGGAGACAGAAGGAGACAGACAGAGCTGTCACATCAGAGAAGGCCCACGGATGGAAAGAGCTGGGTACCCTTGGGCAGGAGGCTTACTGGTGGAGTGCTGTGGCTCTGGGCACTTGGTGGAGCTCAAGAGCTTTTATAACACTTGACCAAGCTGGGCTGAGGCCGGAGTGGAGGACCAAGGGCCAGAGAGAGGGCTGTCTGCAGGCCAGACTGAGAAGAGGCTATCCTCATTGAAGAACTGTATCCTGAGTTGCTCTGATCCTGAACTATGACTTGTTACTTTCCTAATGGACCCTCTAATCCTGAGTATTGTTTGCAAGTTCTGTGCAGAGAGAGTTCTATGGGAGGCAGGGTTGGTGCCATGTTCATATAGGCGCCCCTCAGAGATACTGAAGATCTGGCTCCAGACCACTGCAATAAATCAAATATCACAGTAAAGCAAGCCACTCAAACTGTATGAGTGTGGCGCTGTAGGATCAGCATTGGACTGCTCACCACAAAGCTGGTAGTTCAAACCCACCAGCCACTCCTTGGAAACCCTATAGAGGAGGATCATTAAGAGTCAGAACCGACTCGATGGAACTTCACAACAATAGTGCATAGAAGAGTTATGTTGAACCTAGACCGCAGTCTATTAAGTGTGCAATAAATTGTTGTCTGTCAAGTGCAGTCGAGTTGATTCTGACCTATAGTGATCCTGTATAGGGTTTCCGAGGAGCAGCTGGTGAGCTCAAACCGCTGATCTTGCAATAAATAGCAGGATGAAAAACTTTGTGAATATGGTGTGGGGCCGTGCAGTGTTTTGTTCTGTTGTGCACAGTGACACCCAGACTTGGCATCGACTTGAGGGCACCTAGTAAGTACTGAAATCTTGCTTTTCGCTCCAACCACTTGGTACTGGGGAGAAAAGCTTTGGTTCTTCTCCACCATTACCTGACTCTCAGATGGAGTCCTGCTTCTCCGTTTCACGTGGTGACAGGCCGTCCTACGGACCCCGACAGACTCCTCGTCTGAGGTGTCAACATCAGCCAGGTATTGGGATGGGAGCTGGTCTGTTCTGATGACATCTTTGGAGGGAGAAGAGGTTTGAATTACTTAGACAGAAAAGCCGAGAGCCACTGAAGAGAAGTGATGTGAGCCCAAAGACCAGGCGGACGTGGCTGTTCAATGTGATGGGATTAAAACCTTTCCATCAAAATGAGGAAGGAGCACATTCCACATCTTCACCCGAGGGGCCTGTCTCAGCCCTCAGGAGAGGATGACAGAGTTGTTGTAGATATATGCACAATATGTGTGTGTGTGTGAGGAAAAAAAGAAAGGCTTTCTGCTCCCATAAAGATTTACAGCCTCAGAAACCCCACACAGCAGCGTTGACTCAGAACTGACCCGATGGCATCTAACGATATATGTTGTTGTTGTTGTGATGTGCCGTGGAGTCGGTTCCAACTCACAGTGACCCTGTACAGGGTTTCCGAGGCTGTAAATCTTTACGGGAGCAGAAAGCCTCATCTTTCTCCTGCGGAACAGCTGGAAGTTTTGAACTGCTGACTTTGTGGTTCACAGTCCGATTCGTAGCCACTATGCTACCAGAGCTCCTTACATGTATAATATACATATATTGAATTTAATAATTCATTGGTTGACTATTGCATATTTTATACATGAACTGAAATCAGAAAAAAATTAATAAAAATTTACACATGTAAGCAAAACAGCAGATGTCAATAAATGTAAATAATAAAATTGAAAACATGTTGCTGAAACATCATTATCTGTCTGATCAATGTATCCTTTGTAGAAAACATTTAAACTTTAAATGACATCAAAGAGTCTCTCAATCTTAACTCTAACCACCTGCCATCTAAATGGCCGCTTTGGAATTTCTTCCCTGAACTTCACTGACAAGTTAAGGTCCCTGCTGTTGATGCTAGGCACCATCCAGTCCTTTCTGACTCCTGACAACCCCGTGTGGCAGAGCAGAACTGCCTCATAGGGTGTTCTATCTAGCCTGTGATCTTTCTGGGAGCAGGTCCCTAGGTCTTTCTCCTGTTGCATCTATTTTTTGAAACTAATTTTTGCAAAGCAAATAACATAATGACACCACATCAAATTCCAGGGCAGGGGAGGGGAGTGGCGATGCTGCTCCCCAGGCTGCCCCCACTGGTGGAGGTCACTTCTAGAATTCTTTCTGGAAGGCCACGGCTGGCCTCTTTTCATGTTAGACTGAAGACCTGCAGACTCCTATGGGGACAGGTCATTCATGGCTTGAAATTCTGATTTCTGGGCTTTTGGGATGAGGTGGGATCCCAGGAACCGTTGTGGAAGAGGAATGGAAAGTCTTGACCACGTGGCCAGTGTACGCTCATTTATTCATTATTTATCAGTTGCTGTCAGGTTGACTCTGGTGCCCTGATGTGTATCAGAGTAGGACTGTGTCACTGGGTTTTCAATGGGAGATTTTTTGGAAGTGGATCACCAAGCCTTTCTTCTGAGGTGCTCTGAACTGAAATTGCCACCCCTTCAGTTAGTAGTTCAGCACTCATTATTTGGGGGTGGTAAAGTCTCACCTTCCCCACCCACTCTGTAGGCTCTTTATCAGTGTGAGAGATAAATGAGGTCTCTACCATATGCCAAAAAAATCAAAACAGATGTTGTCTTAACAAGGTCCCTGGTACACAGACTCCATGCTTTGGTGAAGTAGAAGTTTGTTTGTGGTCGGCTGGGCCTCCTGTGTGGCCGGTCCCATCGGCGCCTGCATTAATGGAGCTCTGAACTCCAGAACAGTGTACATACCCCCAGGGCACAGGAAAGGACAGCCATTTGTGGGAAGTCTGCAGATTTCATTAGGAAGCAAAGTGGCAACAAAATGACACTGAGCAGACTGCAGGTCTCAGCACATAAAGACGGTCTGATGAAGGGCTCTGGGCAGGCATGACGTTCAAGGCTGCTGATCACCAGCAGACTGCACCGGAGGTGGGGGGTCGCCCAGACGGGACCTGAGTTCTGGTACTCGGAGCCAGCACAGCTGGTGCTGTCCTGTCTGGGGTCGGGTGGTTGGTTGGGTGGCCCTGTCCATCTCAGGGACGAGATACTCCCATCCTACAACAGCTTAGCTTTCTCCTTAGTAGGTGGCGAGGACCCCAGTCCATGGCTTTGTCTAGGACTGAACACACTGAAAAAACACCTTGAAGGAAGGACCATTTTAAGTCAGCTTCTGCTAACTAAACGTTGGAGATTCCAGTCCACCCAGAAGCACTTCGGAAGAAAGTCCTGGCAATCTACTTCCTAAAGGTCACAGCCATTGAAAGTCTATGTGGTGTAGTCCTATTTACACACGTGGCATCCCTCCCCATGAGCCAGAATCTATTCCACAGAGAGTGGTTTCAAGTATCTGCATAAATCTCCTCACACAGGGTGGATTGGGGGGTTCTGGCCAAGGCACTCACCAGATGTAGCAGGCTCCTCCCCGGCTGCCCCAGTGGCATCTTCAGTTGAGCAGAGCTCAGAGGGGGTGTGCTGTCTGGCTGGGGAGAGGCTTTCCCTTTTCTCTTCTGGATAGGGCTGAGACCAGGTGGCCCCCAGGTCAGCTCCCTCCACTGTCTCAGCGTCCTGCGAGGTAGCCTCTTCTGCACCAGGGTCATCTGTGAGGGACTGAGCACACGGCACCATCAGTCCTGGAAGGCCTCCCAGGGGGTGGCAGTTCCTTGGAATGTGGGTCTTTCAGGTGAAAGTTCAACCAACTGTCTCTGTCCCCATTCCCTGAAAGCTACCACACAGCCGCCAGATGTGCCACCTGGCACTGGACACCTGCCCCTCGGGTTATGGAAGCAGACACTGGAGCCCACTGACCTGCGGGCTGTCTTGGACCACCGGGATGGAGCACAGGTGTGGGTTGTAGTGGTGGGACTGAGTGAGGTCATCCGAATCGGCCTCCAGGTCCAGGTCGTGGACAGTGAGAAGGCGCTTCTTCTAAGCAGGCAGAGATGTAGGAGTGGGGGGTCAGTACCCACTGACTGAGGGACACCCCCTCCCCACACTCAGCCCAGGGACCCATGTTTCTGCCTGGGTCACAGAACCTGTGGGGGTGGGAGGGGCTCTCTGTACTCAAATGAAGGCATTAGTACAGACCCCAGGGACATTCACATTCAGGGGTCCAGAACCTGTGAGGAGGACGTGGAGGCTCAGGCAGGTGGGGGAGCTGGGCCAGGACTCACTTTGCTGCCACTGGACTGGACCTGGGCTGCCATGTCCAGTTCTCCATCCTCACTGGTCTGCTCACTGTCCCCACTGCTTTTGTCAGAGATCTGTTCAGGGTCATCTACAACAGAAAGCAGAAGAGTCTACCAGGGAGAGCCATGAACAATCTGTCTTCCACCTAGCTTTCCACCCACCAACCCACCTATCCACTGTCCATCTATCCATCCACTCCTATAACACCTGTCCACACATCCACCATTCAGCCTTCCACACACACACACACACACATACACTTATCTATCCATCCAACCACTCATCCATCCATCTATCCTACACCTATGCACACATTCACTATTCACCCTACCCCCACACTTATCTATCTGTCCAACCATGTATCCATCCGTCTATCCACCCCTACACTATCTGTCCACACACACACACACACACACACACACATATCCACCTATCTATCCATCCAACCATTCACCCATCCATCTATCTACCCATCCATCCATCCATCCACCGTAACCTACTCATCCACCCTCCCACTCATCCACCTATCTACTTATCTATCCATCTAACTATCCATTCATCATCCATCCAGCTATCCATGTATTCACTCATCCCTACACCCATCTACATATCCACCAGTTCACCTTTACACACACACACACACACATACCCCACACCCCTATCTATCCACATATTCATTACCCATCTATTCATCCATCATCTACCCATCCATCAAGAATCCATCCACCATATGCCTATCCCTCCACCCAACACATATCCACTGTCCGACCACTCAACTACCCACCCACCCACCCATCCACCTACTTATCCATCGAACCATCCATCAATCTTCCATCCATCCATCCATCCATCCATCCATCCATCCATCCATCCATCCAGACATGGTGCTCTGTTGACAAAGCCCTATCCACGCAGCAGTTAGAACTAGTCTATATTACAGCATCACTAAAGTCATGCTTAGAAAATCCAAAGGGACTATGGAGTCCCTGGGTGGTACATCAGCGCATACACTCTGCTGCTAACACAAAGGTTGAAGGTTCTAGTCTACCCAGAGGTGACTCGATAGATAGTCCTGGCAATCTCCTTCTAAAAACCAGCCACTGACAACCCTACAGTTATACTCTGACACACGTGGGGTCGTCTGAGTGGGAGTCTACTCTGTGGTTTGGTGTGAAATAGAGATTTCTTGATCACTCAAAATAGGGTGCAAAACCCAAACAAGCTCATTGGTACCCTGAGTGATTTACTGTGGACATACAGAGAGCCGGGCACCTGGACAGGCATATGCATAACCCAAGAAAAGACACTGAGAAGAAAGATGTTTCTGAAACACGTTTGATTAAAGGCTGAGTTCCTTTCCATGTTATTGACATGTGTTTCTATGGACAGGTGGTCCTGCTATGGAGAGTCTCAGGAAACACAACCCCACCTCCCTCCTGGCTCCACTAGAGAGATTCATTCAGGGAAGACCCCCACCGGCCCACCATTAGGGTCCTAACTGAGACATGTTTCAAAACATTAACTTGAATGTGGTTTTTGTCAAAGGCACAACTTTCCAGTTTGGGGCCCCTTCCTTGTAACCTTTTGTTACGATGGGATTGTGTCCCCTGAATAGAAATGAGGATGTACCAGCCCCTGTACCTGCGAGTAGGCCCCTGTTTGGAAGGAAAGGGGTTTATGTTGTTATGTTCACGAGGTCATAACTGAGTAATCTGGGTCCTAAACCTGATCCTTTCTGATTGGAGTCTTATAAAAAGAGGAACAGACAGGGGAAAGACAGATGCCAAGTGAGGGGCTGAGGAATGCCCTCAATAGCCAGCAGTCACTAGAACTAAGGAGAAAGGTCCAGAAGGTATCTGCATAGCCAAGACCCTGATATGGACTTTCTGCCTCCAGAACTGTGAGAAAATAAATTCCTGTTCTGTGAAGCCACCCGCTGTGGTAGTTTGTTACAGCAGACATAGCTCAATGCAAAGAAAACAAAAATCCTCAGAAACACAAACATCAGGGGAAAAGGAAAGGATTGCAGTTGTCAAAGATTTCATTTTACTTGGATCCACAATCAACACTCATGGAAACAGTTAGTGAACAAGTCAAATGGGTAAATCTGCTGCAAAAGACCTCTTTAAATTGTTCAATAGCAAAGTGGTAACTTGAAGACTAAAGTGTGCCTGGCCCAAGTCATGGTATTTTCAGTCACCTGATGCATGTGCAAGTTTGATATGCATAAGGAAGACTGTAGAAGAATTGATGCATTTGAGTTATGGTGATGGAGAAAAATATTGGAAGTACCATGACTGCCAGAAAAACAAACAAATCTGTCTTGGAAAAAGTAAAGCCAGGGTCCAAAGCACAGTGAGACTTGGGGATACCTGAACCCACGGACAAGGACATAGCCACAGAGGGCTAGAGCTGAGAGTGAAGCATCCAGCTGATATGAAGTGAGGGGAGATGAACAAGAACACCCAAACTTGCATATTGTACCCATTTTACCTAGCCTTGATGGCTTGATAATCAGAACTCAACTAGAGGAAGATAAAAAATAACAACAACCAATTTTTGATAAAGGAAACAAGGGTAAATTGCTACAATTTGATGAATCTGACCTCTACTCATGGAGGTAGTAACTCTAAATACCAACAGAGAGGGAAGGAGTCTTCACATCAAGTATCAATGCTATCCCCTCTGTAAACAGGGTAGATAGGGACGGACAATGTAGACATGGGCTACCTAAAATGAGGGGGCAATAAAGGCACAAAGTGACTGGCTTACATGTTTTCAAGAGGGAGTTTAGTTCCAGAGTACATGGGGGAAGAAAAAGTCCCCACTGAATAGCTGTCTCTTGTCTAGATGGGTCTGGTGGAAAGAGATGTGGATAAGATTCCTATGATTCAATAGTGAGTAATTGTTATCATGACTAATTGCGACTATCACAATTGTAAAGGTAGAAGTTTTGTAACAAAAATGGGGGAGTAGTTAATCTTACAGTCCAGAAACTAAACCCTAGGACCTTCAAGGGAGAAGAGCACAAGTGGAATGCGGGACATTATCCAGAGAAGCAGCTACCCCAGAGATGGGGACCTGGAGACAGGGAGCAGCTGAGGACTAGATTCATGGGAAGAAAGGGGCTAAGAGCTGGTGGCCAGGAGGCAGACTTGCAGAATGTGCCCTTTGGTGGTATAAATTATTATATATGTTTGAATGCTTTTTTTTTTTTTTTTTCACTCCCCAAAAAAGAGCTAAAATGAATAGAGAGAAATACTGTTAACTGATGGTACACTGAAGGGAATGTAATCATTGTGATGAAACAAGTTGTATGATTTGTTGAATGTAAGATTGATGATCTGTCCTGCAAATTTATACTCAACCCACAAAAAAACCTTAAAGAAAAAAGAAAAAGTAAAGCCAGAATGTTCTTTAGAAGGGAGGATGGTGAGACTTTGTCTCAAGTACTTGGGACATATGATCAGGAGGGACCAGTCCTTGGAAAAGTGGAGGGTAGGTGAGAAAGAGGAAGTTCCCAGAAGACTGATTTACACAGTAGCAGAAACCAATGGTATCCAATGTAACAATCCTGAGGACTGCACAGGACTGGGTGATGTTTTGCTTTGCTGGATATGGGGTTGCTATGAGTCAGAACCGACTCGAGGAGAACTGACACCAACAAGCAAACTAAGCCACCTTTTTTTTGTTTTTGTTTTTGAATGTGACGTATTCATAGGCACGCTGTCTGAGAACGCAGCTCTGGGGCTTCATTGCTGGCACTCAGGGGCAGTACCAGTGCTGTCTGCTGCCCCACAGTGCCATCTCCTGGCAAATTGGAAAGTGGCAGGGTTGGAGCTTCAGTTACAAGACAGAAACTCCTAGTCCACTAGGACTTTGTCACCTTTTTCCCAGTTCAGGGGACCCCCCAACCTGAGGCAACCTATAGTGTCCTTACACTGTCTTCCTGAAATGATGACCTGAGATGCCTCAAGGGCACATATGTTTAGAGTGAACTTGTTATTGTTGTTGTTGTTGTTAAGTGCCGTCGAGTCGGTTCCGACCCATAGCGACCCTGTACAGGGTTTCCGAGGGTGTAAATCTTTACGGGAGTAGAAAGCCTCATCTTTCTCCCGCGGAGCGGCTGGTAGTTTCGAACCGCTGACCTTAAGGTTCGCAGCCCGATTCGTAACCACTACGCTACCAGTGCTGTCTAATGAAACACTGGTCCTGCACCACCCTCACTGTTATTGTCCTGGTTGGACCCACTGTTGCTGTCACTGTGGCAATCCATCTTGCTGGGAGCCTTCCTCTTTTTTTCTGACCCTTAATTTTACCAAGCATGATGTCCTTCTCCAGGAACTGGTCCCTCCTGTTTACACGTGCAAACTACGTGAGTCCGAGGCTCACCATCCTGTCTTCTAAGGAGCATTCTTGCTATAGTCCTTCTAAGACAGGTTTGTTCTTCTGGCAGTCCACGCTACTTTCCTTTCTATATTCTTCTCCAACACCATAACTCAAGTGCATCGATTCTTCTACAGTTTTCCTTATTCACTGTCCAACCTTCACATGTGTGTGAGGTGATTGACAATATACCATGGCTAGGATCAGGCATGCCAAAGTCCTCAAAGTTTTGTTCTTGAACACTTTAAAGAGCTAGTTTGCAGCAGATTTCCCCGAGGCAATATGTTGTTTGATTTCTTGGCTGCTGCTTTCATGAATATTCATTGTGGATCCAAGTGAAATTAAATCCTTGGTAACTTCAATTTTTTTCTCCACTTATCATGATGTTGTTTCTTGGTTCAGTTGTGAGGATTTTTGTTTTCTTTATATTGATTTTAATCTATACTGAAGAACTTCATTCTTTTATCAGCAAGTGATTCAAGTTCTCTTCTCTTTCAGCAAACAAGTTTGTGTTATCTGCATATTGCAGGTTGTTAATGAATCTTCCTCCAATCCTGAAGCCATGTTTTTCTTCATCTAATCCATCTTCTAGAAATATTCGCTCAGCATGCAGATTGAATGCGTATGCTGAAAGAATACAACCCTGGTGCATTTCTGATTGAAAGCCATTCAGTTGTTCTGTTTGAACAACTGCCTCTTGGTCTGTGTACAGGTTCCTCATGAGCACAATCAAGTGTTCTGGAATTCCCTTTCTTTGCAATGCTGTCCATAGTTTGTGATGACTACACAGTTGAATGTCTTTGCATAGTCAATAAAATACAAGTTAACATCTTTCTGGTACTCTGTTTTCAGCCAAGGTCCATCAGACCTCAGTAATGATATCCCTTGTTTCATGCCTTCTTCTGAATCCAACTTGAATTTCTGTCTGCTGCAACCATTTTTTAATTATCTTCAACAAAATTTAACTTGCATTTCATAGTAACGATGTTGTTCGATAATTTCTGCATTTTGTAGGGTCATTTTCTTTGGAATGGGCACAAATATGGACCTCTTCCAGTTGGTTGGCCAGGTAGCTGTGTTCCAAATTTCTTGATGTAGATGAGTGAGTACTTCCAGGTTTGCATCAGTTTGTTGAAACATTTCTATCAGTATTCAGGGATTCCTGGAGCCTTGTTTTTCACTAATGCCTTCAGTGCAGTTTGAACTTCTTCCTTCAGTACCATCGGTCTTGGTCATATGTTACCTTCCGAAGTGGCTGGATGTTGACCAATTCTGTCTGATACAGAGGCTCTGTATTCCTTCCATCTTCTTGTGAGGCTTCTTTTTGATGTCACATTCATCATGATATAAATACTCAGATGTTATTGTTGTGAAGTGCTGTCGAGTCGATTCCGACCCATAGCGACCCTGTATAGGGTTTCCAAGGAGCAGCTGGTGGGCTTGAACCACCAACCTTGCAGTTCAAACAACTTTGTAGTCTGATGCATTAACCCACAGCACCACACCAGGAACACATTAAAAAGAAAACCATGATTACATCACACTAGATTTTTCTAGAACTTGATCATCTTTGGAGTCTCTGGGTGTTGTTGCAAAGTGTGGTGAATGTGTTCAGGTTCTGACTGAAAGGTTGGAGGTTCTCGTCCAGCCAGAAGCACTTGGAAGAAACATATGTCCTTGATACTCTATGGAGCACAATTCTACGCTGACACACAGGGTGTTGCCATGAGTTGGAGTTGGCTGGCTTGGTTTTTGGTTTTAGTAATCCTCAGAATCCTGCAATACATTTGTTGAAACTGGAGCATCTAGACCCAGTCAGCTGCTTCACAAGAGAAGGATCTGGAGAAGCACCCTAAGGAGTCTGGAGGTCAATGCTGTGTGTGACAGGCAGTGTGTACCAGTTTGGCTAGGCTATAGTTTGGCTGGCATTGCACTGACTGCTATCTCATCAGTGATATAATGGGACCATTCTCAGTAGGAGCTGATGTTAGCAGTAAGTCAGATGAAAGCCAATCAGCTTCCTGGGGTGTGGCCTCATCCTATACATGTGGGTGATCCTGCAGTTGGTTCACCCTCCTCTGACTTCTGATGGTTGGGACTTGAGCCAGCAGCCTGCCATCTGACCTGCAGATTTCATGTTCATCAGTCCCTACAAACCAGTGAATCAGAAACAGCTTCCAGCCTCCTCCTGATTCCCGATTTGGGACTTACCAGCTTCTATAACAGTGGGAGCCATTTCCTTGGAAATAAATGTCTCTGTATATGCTGGACTCCTGGGATGGCGCTGTAGGATCAGCACTGGACTGCGAACCACAAGGTTGGCAGTTCAAACCCACCAGCTGCTTCACGGAAATCCTATACAGGATCACTATGAATCAAAACTGACTTGATGGTATTTAGCAACAACAACAACAAATGTTGTCGAGTCCGTTTTGACTAACAGTGACCATGTAGCTAGGGGTGGGAGGGGAGCGAGCTTTTTTCTGCCAAATTTTATAACATCTTTCATGAGCCACACAAAATTATCAACCTGATATATTTGGTCAAACATTTAATTAGCAGGGTTGCTATGAGTCTGAACTGACTTGACGGCACTTAACAACAAGAACAACAGTGTGATGGTTGGAATTGCAGTTGCCTTGACTGGGACAGACCAACTGATTTCAGGGGCCTTTTATGGTCTGTGAGATGAACCTTCCCCATCCCTTCTGTATAGGCTTTCCGAGGAGTGGCTGATGGGTTTGAACTGCTGACCTTGCAGTCAGCAGTCCAGTGCTTATCCTACAATGCCACACCAGGCCTCCACACATATGCATATACTCATATATATTCTTTACTGATTTGGCTTCTCTAGAGAACCTTGCCTAAGGCAGCGGGGAATCCTGAGGAGACCAGGCCAGCGAGGATCAGAGGTTTGCAGCTCCAATGAGAAGACTCCAGAATGGAATTGATGGTCCGAAAGCACTAGGACCTACCTGGGAGCAAGGGGGCTGTGGTAAGACCCACCTCTTGCCCTCCTTACCTGCAGCCTGCAGCCTCTCCGACAGGGACCGGACCACCTTGGCACTCCCAAACCTCTTGAAGCGGGCCCGCACGTGTTCATAGTACCACTCTAGAGAGCCAACCTTTACCACCCTGCAGAACAGAAGACGGGACAAGTAAGCAGCCGACACATGTGCTTGTCTCCTGTCCTAGCTCAGAGCCCGAGGGCCCTCCTGACCTGGGAGACATGCAGGGCTATCCCACCCAGGAGAAGATTAGCACAGGCCTGTGGGACCATCAGACCTAGTGAACAAGCAACCCAGGCTTCCAGGAGCCGTCTGACCCTGGAGACACTGAATGCCATCCAGCCCGAGGCCACTTACCTGGTCAGGCGGCAGGGGTCACACAGCCAGCCCTGCCCCGTGGGGTGGGTGCTGCCACAGTCCCTGCAGGTGAAGAGATTACAGTCCAGGCACTGCCTCCTGCTGTTTACCAGGAACCGGTAGGGCTGCAGGCAGTGGGCACAGTGGGTCTCATTCAGGTGGGCCGAGTCTGACAGCAGCTCCCTCTTGGAACTTTCCTTCTTGACCTTGCCCTTCAGGCCCCTGAGGGAACAGCAGAAATGAGAACTACGTTGGATGCTCTGTTTTTACAATAGGCTTTAAATACACAAACAGACACACAGAAACAAGTAGATAGACAGATGTACTCAGAAGCCAAGACAGACACACAGACAGACACATATAGACAGACACAGACATCAGTAGTTTCACCCAGAGACATAGATGGACACAGACATACACACATACGCTTTAGAACTCTCACATGCAGATATGCTGATCGGAAGTTTGACAAAGGGGCCCACAGCAGCCCTGACCATTTCCAGTTCCCTCCCCCAATCCCCCAGGGTAAGACAAGAGGTTGGGCTCAAACCCTTGAATGTTGGCAGTTTCGGGTGGAAGCGCTGGTTTTCAAGAGAGATGGCACCGTAGTGAAACATGGCAGAGATCTTGTGCTGTCTCTGTTCCAGAGAGTGTGATGTCCACTCACTGCTGATTTAGAGCACAGGGTAGTGAGGTCCTGCCACTGTCTACACAGCCTCACATAGCAGGACTCAACAGAGCAAAATCCAAGTCCACTGACCACACAGCCTCATACAGCAGGACTTGACAGATCCACATCCAAGTCCACTGACCACACAGCCTCACATAGCGGGACTTGACAGATCCACACCCAAGTCACTGACCACACAGCCTCACCTAGCAAGACTCGACAGATCCACAACGAAGTCCGCGTTCTCGTCCCAGCTCGGAGCTCAATGCTGGGTCTAAGTACCCAGACTGTGCTTGGAGCTTGTTCTGCTGGTCAAGTGTGGACGCATCAGTACCCAGCACCCACTCTCCCTTGGAGGGTGGGGTGGTGATTCTGGAGAGAGTGTAGTCTGGTCTGGACGCAGGGTCATCTAGACCATCATCTTGTCCAGTCAATGGGCTAACAGGAGGTTAGATACGAGAAAAATCCTGAGATTCAGGGACTGCTCAGAGCAGAGAGCAGAAGAAGGGAATGAGGGGGTGGGGCGGGAGGGCTTGATGGTCACTTCCTACCGCTGGGGTCTGTCACCCCTCTACCGGGGCCTGAGTTACTGACAGTGTCAGGCTTCTGCCAGGCTGTAAAATTCCCAAGTTTTACCCAGACTAGTACTTGGGGAAAAAAATGTATAGTCTGGGTAAAACGTACTTTTTAGTACTTGGGACCACCACCTGTCTGTCTGTTTGCTATACCATGGTGGCTTGTGAATTGCTGTAATTCTGGAAGCGATGCCACTGGTATTTAAATACCAGGAGAGTCGCCATGGTGGACAGGTTTCACCTGAGCTTTAGACAAAGACAGACTAGGGAGAAGGAGAGACAGACTACTTCCGAATTTTTAGTTACTGAAAATGACTAGCAGTGGAACACTGTCAACACCAGATTATGGAATATTGAAACATGATGAAGAGCACCAGTATATTGTCAGATATAGTGCCGGTAGATGAGTCCTTCAGGTTGGAAGACACTCAAAATGCTACTGGGGAAGAGCTCGCTGCCTCCTCAAAGCAGAGTTGACCGTGATGATGCGTCTAGAGTAAAGCCCTCGGGACTTTCATATGCTGATGGGGCACAACTCAAAACGAAGAGAAACAGCTGTAAACATCCATTAAGAATTGGAACATGGAATGTACGAAGTATGAATCTAGGGAAAATTGGAAATTATCAAAAACGAAATGGAACACATAAACATCAATATCCTAGGCATTAGTGAGCTTAAGTGGACTGCTATTGGCCGTTTTGAATCTGACAATCACATGGTTTCCTATGCTAGGAATGACAAATTGAAGAGGAATGGTGTTGTATTCATCATCAAAAAGAACATATTAAGATCACTAATGAAGTACAACAGTACTTCATTACTGTGATAGGATAGTATCCATACTCGTACAAGGAAGACCAGTTAATGCCACTATTATTCAAATTTACTCATCAACCACTAAAGCCAGTGAGAATGAAATTGAAGAATTCTACCAACTTCTTCAGTCTGAAAGTGATCAAACATGCAATTGAGGTGCAGTCATAATTACTAACAATTAGAATGCAAAGGTTGGTAACAAAGAGGAAGGATCAGTAGTTGGAAAATATGACCTTGATGATACAAATCATGCTGGAGATTGCATGACAGAATTTCTCAAGTCCAATGACTTGTTCATTGCAACTAAAACAAAACAAAACATAACAAAACAAAACTTAAGAGATGACTATACACATGGGCCTCACCAGATGGAATACACACACAGAAATCAAACTGACTACATTTGTGGAAAGAGACATTGGAAAAGTTCTATATCATCAGCCAAAACAAGGCCAGGGGCCGATTGTGGAACCATCAATTGCTCATATGCAAATTCAGACTGAAGCTGAAGAAAAGGAAATCAAGTTCACGAGAGCCAAAATATGACCTTGAATATATCTCACCTGAATTTAGTGATTGCCTTAAGAACAGATTTTATGTATTAGACACTAAAGACCGCAGACCAAAAGAATTGTGGGATGACATCAAGAACATCATACAGGATGAAAGCAAAAGGTCATTAGGAAGACAAGAAAGAAAGAAAAGACCAAAATGGATGTCAGAAGAGACACTGAAACTTGCTCTCCAGTGTAGAGATACTAAAGCAAATGGAAGAAATGGGGAGGTCCAAGAGCTGAACAGAAAATGTCAAAGGTCAGCTTGAGAAGACAAAGTCAAATATTACAATGAAATGTGCAAAGATCTGGAGTCAGAAAACCAAAAGCATTTCTCAAGCTAAGGGAAATGACAAAAAAAAAAAAAAAATTCAAACGTTGACTTGTAGTATTGAAGAATGTTATAGTCAAATTATTGAATGTTGCAGAAAGCATCAAAAGAAGATGGAAGGAATAACAAAGGTGCTGTACCAAAAAGAAATGGTCGATGTTGAACCATTTCAAGAGGCAGCATATGATCAAGAGTTAATGATAGTGAAGGAAGAAGTCCAAGGTGCATTGAAGGAATTGGCAAAGAACAAGGCACCAGGAACTGATGGAACACAAATTGAAATCTTTCAACAAAGTGATGTGGCACTGGAGGCACTCGCTAATCTATGCCAAGAAATTTGGAAGACAACTATCTGGCTAACTGACTGGAAGAGATGCGTATTTGTGCCCATTCCAAAGACAGATAACCCAATGGAATGTAGAAATCATCAGACAATATCTTTGATACTCCATGTGAGTAAGGTTTTACTAAAGGTAACACAGAAATGGCTGCAACCATACATTAACATAGAACTTCCAGAGGTTCAAGCCAGATTCAGAAGAGGCTTTGGAACGAGGGTTATCACTACTAATGTCAGATGGATCTTGGCTGAAAACAGAGAATACCAGAAAGATGTTTACCTATGCTTTATTGACTATGCAAAGGCTTTTGATGGTGTGGATCTTGACAAGCTATGGACAACATTGCAAAGTATTAGTATTCCTGAACACTTAATTGTGCTCATGTGGAACTTGTAAATAGACCAAGAAGTAGTTGTTAGAATAGAACAAGGGAACACTGAATATTTTAAGATTAGGAAAGGTGTGTGCCAGGGTTGTATTATTTCACCATACATATTCAATCTGTATGTTGAGCAAATAATCCAACAAACTGGATTATATGAAGAAAAATGTGACATCAGGATTGTAGGAAGATTTATTAACAACCTATGGTATGCAGATGATACAACCTTGCTTGCTGAAAGTGAAGAGGACTTAATATACTTACTGATGAAGATCAAAGAGCACAGTCTTTGGTATAGGAACATCTCATTGTCAAAAAACAAAAATCCTCACCACTGGACCAACGAACAACATCCGAAGTTGTCAACGACTTCATTTTGCTCATAGCAACCATCAACATTCATAGAAACAGCATTCCAGAAATTAAATGACGTATTGTATTAGGCAAATCTGCCACACACCTTTTTAAAGTGTTGAAGAGCAAAGATGTCAGCTTGAGGACTAAGGTGAACCTGACCCAAGCCATGGTATTTTCAGTAACCTCATATGCATGTGAAAGTTGGACAGTGAATAAGAAAGACCATAGAAGAATTGATGCATCTGAGTTACGGTGTTGGAGGAGAATATTGAAAGTGCCGTGGGCTGCCAAAAGAATAAACAGACGTGTGATGGCAGAAATACAGCCAGAGTGCTCCTTGGAAGCCAGGACGGCTAGACTTCATCTCTCATACTTCGGATATATTATCAGGAGGGACCAGTCCCTGGAGAATATCATATCTGGTGAAGCTGAGGGTCAGAGAGAAAGAGGAAGACCCTCAGTGAGATGGGTTGGCACAGTGGCAGCAGTAATAGACTCTGGCATTGGAACAATTGTGAGGTTGGCGCAGGACCAGGCAGGGTTTTGTTCTTCTGTCATAGGGTGGCTATGAGTCAGTACTGACTCGATGTCACCTAACAACAACAACAAAGTACTTGGACGGCAGGCCATCGCACGCCCTGAGTCCCTGGGAAGAGCCCTGGTAGTGGTAAGGTCTAATCACTGGGCTGTGAACTGCTAGTTCGGTGGATCAAACCTACCCCTCACTCCATGGGAGACAGATGAGACTTTCTGCTCTCGTAACAATTTAGTCTCAGAAACCCTAAGAAACAGTTGTACTTTGTCCCATAGGGTCTTCGTGGAGCAGAATGAACTCGGTGGCAGAGGGTTTGATTTGGGTTTGCAGTCCCTTAATAGTGGAAAGGGTAAAGCTCTTGGCTGTTAACCAAAAGCTTGAAGGTTTGAGTCTGTCCAGAAGTACCCTGGAAGAAAAGCCTGGGGACCTGTTTTTTAAAAAACCAGCCATTGGAAATCCTACAGAGCAGTTCTACTCTGACACACGTGGGGGCACCATGAGTTGGATCCCACTAGACAGTAACTGGTAGGAGGGGGACTCGGGGTCCTGGAGGGAAAGCCAGATATTTCTTATCCAGCCACCCCAGATGTCCTCTAGCAGGCCAGCCAGAGATGACTTGAATCCCGAGTTGATCCGTGGCTGAACTGATTCAGCTTGAAG